TAACCTTTACATGAAGATTGTAAAAACTTATCTGGGGAATGGAAATTTTGCTCAAAGGCATGATTCATAGCATAATGGATGGTAAAGTTGGAAAAGTAGTAGCTAGCTAATACTGGGTGTTTTTAATCTTGCAGGAATTATGATCTGGGAACAATGTTAACAATTAGTTTCTGGACAGAGTAATGAAGGGCTTGTAGTTTTAAAGAATCCTGGATTCATGGAGAATGAACTAAAAGACAGGGATAAGGCATGAAGTTAGCATGCAGGGAGAAAAATGGACCCAACTTTTAACCAAACTGGGTAACAGACTACTTATGGGTAGGTAGTTGCTGAGAAGCCCAACATTACCTCAAGATTACCAGGGAAACTAGATGATACTACAAAGAATTCAGAAGATCTAGGGGTCGATGAATAGTTTTGGATAAAGTTTGAACTATATTTGGATAAGGTAAAGGCATTCTGGAGCATAGGTACTGAGTTCAGGTGAGAGGCTGGAGCTATAGATTCTAACTATTATGGATAGTATTAAAATCAACCAAAATAGCGGGGTACACCTGGATGGCTCGGTTGGTTGAGCATCGGACTCTTGGTTTAGGCTCAGGTCATGATTTCAGGGTTTTGAGGTCTGCACTCAGCTGGGAGTCTGCTTAAGATTCTCTCTCTACCCCTCCCCCCACTCCCTAAAATCAATCTTTAAAAAAATAAATAGGTAGACAAAGCCATCTTCAAGGAGTTAATAGTTGGAAGGTGAATGATAAAACTGGAGAACACCAACATTTAATGGTTGGATGACCTCAAGATCAGTCCATTTTTTGAGAGAAATATATCACAGAAGGTAAAGAAAAGTTCAGTCACCATGCACTTGCTCCCTTTTTGTGTTAAAGGTAGTGAAACCTCACCAACAGTCATACCTACAGAATATTTAAGTACAATTAAAAATAAGGTAGGTGACTTATTGTTTTATTGCTATTACTGACATAAAAAGGACGAAGTTTAGGACATGGCTAACCTGTAACCCGTGACTGTGAAGGATGCTGACATTCTTCATCTCTCTAGATAAAGGGTCATTGAGATATCCTTAAAGCATTGTTTGGGCATTGAGTGTAATCAAGTTCTAGAGGACTCCCTTCTCCCTATCTGGTATTATCTGGTTTCCTCTTTTAAAAATGTCCATTTCAATGTCTTCTGCTTCTATTCCAGACATCTTTCAAGGTCTACCTCATCCATGTAACCTCCCCTAATTGAATAATTCTATCCCAGATCCTTGTAGCCCTTAATCTGTGTAACTCATTTGGTATTTAAATCACTTAATTGCCTTATGGTGTTTGATTTTCTAGTTTTCTAATAAGGCATACTCCAAAACTATCTCTCATGCTCGCTTTTATCTCGAGTTCACTGCCCAACTGTGCTTCCTTTGATATTCTTATGGTAGGTGTCAATACTCTAAGAATATACCTAGAGAACAAAGATCATTCCATTTAACAGGATTCTCCATAGATTCATTTCCTGGAAACATTTTTAACCTGGCTTTTCAAGGATTCAAGAAAGAGCAACACTTAGGAAATGAAAGACTGTTCATAAACTTTCTCTCAGTTCATGAGGCACTCACTGAATTTATTTTCTAAAGGCAGGTCTGAAGTAGCTAAGTGAGTTAACAGTTATGAATGTGCACAAAATTTTTATCCTTAAATCCAGAAAGCAAGATAACTGGAGGGACTCAGAACAGCAATTATCATACTTGCCAAAATATTATTATCTTGAAGATCTGATAAACAAAGGATAAAATTAACTATCATATGAACAGAAGTCCTTTTTAAACCTCAGAAAAGCCCATTGAGATAAACCTGCAGTAAGCAAACTGGTATTTAACATATCTTTTAGCCTTTTTAAAATAAAAAACCATTGTAACATCATTCATTAGCATTTAACTGTAGTCTGGCATTAGTTTATCAACAGGCGTTAGGTTTATCATTTCAAACTGAAGTATTTGTGTTAATGGCATGAGTAGAATTTACCCATTAGGTTGTATCTGGTGTTCTAGGATTTTCCAACATTAAATAAAAATCTGATTCAAGAAAACAAAAACTATCCAACTCCTCCTTTGTTATTCGTTGAACTGAGGTACAATACTTCAAACTGATGCAAAACATCCATACACCAAGATTTTTCTTATAATAGGCAATTATTTTAGAGCTTGTTTCACAATGTCCTTCAGTTGGATATGGTATCTTGAAGCACTTTCTTTAGTACTGTGAAATATAAATGGTGAGATTTCCGACAGATCCATAAAAGTCTAAGTAGATTAGAAACTATAGCTAAAGTACTTTAGAAACCCTGAATTAACTGTACTTATAACCCTACACTACTAACACCTCCCTCAAAAGCCACTAGTGATCTCTTTATCACCAAATTGCTTTACAGATTCAACACTGTTTTAATAGTTGAATCCTAGATTAATCCCTTATTACCATGGTTTCTAGCTCTTACTCTAACCACCTACTTCAACTCAGTGATTATCACCAAATTGCTTTACAGATTCAACACTGTTTTAATAGTTGAATCCTAGATTAATCCCTTATTACCATGGTTTCTAGCTCTTACTCTAACCACCTACTTCAACTCAGTGATTTCCCCAACTTCCAGTCACTGCCTCTTTCAGTTATCTTCCCATTTATTCTACCTGCAAAAACTCTTGTCTGCCATTTGACCATCAATAAATTTTGTTGGATGAAATTCATCTCAAGGACAGTTATTAGCTAAGAAGGGTGAGGAGGGAAATTATGAAGTAGAAAATAGCAGAAACTGCATTTTCTGTATTACACAGGAGTGTGAAGAGTGATGGACAATCTTGCGACAAGGGAGTATTTTAACAGTTAAAAAGTAGAACATCCCCACCCTTTTCTGTTAGAAACACTGGGACTCCAGTGATACTGTATCATCTTTACACTGGGAGGAAAGGGTTGTCAGGAGACGTATTCAAATAAAACTTCTTTTCCAAATTAGGGGATAGTGAAAATCTTTACATCCAAGCATAGCACAAATATGTAAACCAAACATGGCTAATTATTTTGTTCCTATAAATGACAACTTCATTAACTATTAATGTTTAGCTCTTGTTGGTTTCTAGAAAACAAGCAATTCTTATTCTTGGCCCCCTTTCATAAAGGAAGAAGATGTTGATGTCAAGCCTGCAAAAAAAAGTGAGGCCCCATTTACTCATAAAGTGAATATGAAAGCTAGATTTGAACAAATGGCTAAGGCAAGAGAAGAAGAAGAACAAAGAAGAATTGAAGAGCAAAAGTTATTACGGATGCAGTTTGAACAAAAGGAAATTGATGCAGCACTACAAAAGGTACCAGGCTTACATAATCTTTATTTTTCAAATATGCTCTTAGAATTTTGTGGGATTAAAAATAGTTTAATAGCTTTCAAGTCAGTGGACTGTTTTGTAAAGTACACATTGTAGTAGGCATAGTTTCATGGTCTTTGGGAAGCAAAAACCCATTTACACATGAAATTCTATTACTAAAACATTACTGAATTGCTACTTTAAATGCCAACTTGAATGCACTTATTTTAATATAGAAAAGAGAAGATGAAGAGGAAGAAGACGGTGGTAGCATCATGAATGGTTCCACTATTGAGGATGAGGAACAAACGAGATCAGGAGCTCCATGGTTCAAGAAGCCTCTAAAAAACACCTCGGTTGTAGACAGTGAGCCAGTTAGATTTACTGTTAAAGTAACAGGAGAACCCAAACCAGAAATTACATGGTGGTTTGAAGGAGAAATACTACAGGATGGAGAAGACTACCAATATATTGAAAGAGGAGAAACTTATTGCCTTTATTTACCAGAAACGTTCCCAGAAGATGAAGGAGAATATATGTGTAAAGCAGTCAACAACAAAGGCTCTGCAGCTAGTACCTGTATTCTTACAATTGAAAGTAAGAATTAATCACTTAATCTAGAATTTTTATTCTATTTAATTATTTTTTTCCTTTAAAAAAAAATCACTTTTCTTCTTCTCTTTTTTAGCGGACGACTACTAGCTCCCCTTCCCTCTCCCTGGAACTTTCTCTCTCCCCCTCCTCCCCCTTTCTTACTACATCATGTTTTCTGTGGCGGGGCCAAAATGGAAACCAGAAGTGCCACTATGTTGACTTTTTATTCCTTTTCATAATAGTCTTCAAAACACAAGCTCATCTAAAGAATACCTTCTTCCTTTCCAAATCACCAGATTCATCACCTTATTAAATGCAAAAGTTAATGTGTATCTAATGGGGCAAAGTGGAAATTTTATTCAATTATTCTAAGTTTACAGTAGTAATATTTTAAAAATTATATTATTTTGCATGAAAGATTGTCTTTTATGAGCTATTTATACCTAAAGTTAGTCCAAAATAGCAGAGACTTAATGAATTTGGAACCTATCAATTTGAGTTTTCCTTAATACATCATTCCCTTGTTGTAGTTTCAAAGTCTTTCTGAAGCAGATAAGGGGAAGGGGTACCATTCCTTTCAAGGGAAAGGGGGAGCATGGAGAACAAAACTAAGACTTTCAAGAAACAACTGTCAGAGAAAATTTAATGGAAACCACTGCCTATATAGAGTTCTGAGTGTTGAGAACAAATATTAACATGTACTTTTCAAATGTGTGTAATATATATTCAAGCTTACAAAGCAAATTTATGTTGTGACCTTGCCTGACAAATTATATTTTAGTGAGAAAACTTTGTATCAGTAGTTTATGCAGGAGAAAACACTTTTAACATATGGACAGTTTCAAGATCTAAGAGGAAAAAAAAATGGCACACTCTTCAATTTTAAAATCCGTTCTTTGAGTTTGTAAATAATTAACTACCATGTTCTATTACCAAGTTGTTTTATATTTTAGTTTTCTGGAAGACAATTTTATTTTACAATGTAAACTCAATAAAGTAACTTCCGTATTAAAAACAGTCTTTCAATATTTTAGAAAAGAAACAAAACACTCCTTTATAATATTGATCAATGTACATTTATTTTTTTATTGAGGAAACCATAATCAATACAAAATTACAGCAATCATGTGCCCTTTTACATACAATGTCATTAAAGCAAACTCTAAACCACAGTTTGTAAAGTATTCAATTTACCTCAAGTCCAAGCTGCATCTCCCTAAGACACTGTTCCCATCACAGTAGCCATTTTAAGCCAATCTTCTTTTTACACACGGGTAGTTTCTGTAGAGAACACTTTTCTCAGGACGAAAATGCATCGAGCATGCATAAGAAAAAATATATATATATATGCGCAAATACATTTAAGAGTTTCTATAGGGCTATCATTGAAGAAAATAAAACCTTGGGATTTGCTTCTTAAAAGCACCAGTTTAAAAAATCCCTCAGAAATTTATACTGTGGCAAGAAAACTCAAGTGACTAAACAAAAAATAAGGTTATTTTCAGAGTCAAAATTATCTTTAGGTATTGTTAAAATACATTTTAAAATGAGGCAGAATTTTCAGAAAATAAAAAGACATCCTCATTGATCATTTCTACATCCTTATTCTAGACAACAGATGTTTGCAGGTAGAGCTGGTTCTCCTGGCAGAGTATTCAAACAAATGTTATCACTTCTGCATATATTCCTATTTCCCTCTTAAGGTACTCTGCTACTCCTACCCAAACCCACCCTTATGAATTAACTACCAAGGTGCTTGGCTAAGGAAATATTTTATAATGTTTATAAACAACTAGTATTAAATCTCTAGTTTTAGTATTAAGACCATTTTCATTAATTAAAAGTAAAAGTATACTTTTCATTTTTAAAAGAAACATGAAACCATAAGAATTCTACGTTTCACCACACTAAAATATCTTTTAAAAAACGGAACACATTGTCAAGTTTTTTTTTAAGTGCTAAATAAAATAAATCAGTTCAATTTCAATCTAAACATTGTTTCTACCACTCCTAACATCCATTGCATTCAAGTCAACTGGCTCACCTTTTCTGCTTTCCATTTATTTCATGGTTAAGATTAGCGCCATTTTAAAAAAATGCAGTATCAGTGAAGGCTTATGGTAATGAATAAAAAAAACTCTCGAGATAGAAACAATGCCCCGAAATCTATTAGCATTCATCTATATTTTATAAAAATGCAAACTACGACTAACCAAAACTTGACAGGCTCTTTAGTTTCAAAGAGCTCCTTTATATTACCATTCTTAACATACCTATCATCTATTAAAACAATACATACACACACATAAATGTGGTGCAGTAACTACATAACTTACAAAATTTAACAGTTCATGGAACATTTAAGATCAAGCGAATAGCACTTTAAAATGAAAAGTGATCAAAAGCAGGTACATTACACCCTATACCATATTATGTATGGGAATACATTTCATATTTTTCAATTATGATTTGCCAATTTTACCTTCTACATTGAGCCCTTCTATGGTCCATGCTCATCGGCTCACCAATGGCATACACTCAAAGGATTCCTCTTTATGGGTAACTATCTCAGGACCTGATTTTATGAGCTATGATTTGGTGCTTGCAGCATCTTCAGCACTGTGTGTGAAAATGAAGGCAGTATTTTTGAATATTTTTCTTTGTTGCAGAGATAAGCAGGAGTTTTTAAAAAGGATCAGCACATTTTAGAAACTGAATAAACAAAACTGATATGATGCTGCTTTAATACATTCATCTTAACTCAAAATATGTACCAGTTAAAATCATTTATAAGAACACAAACATTTTAAACTGGCAAAAATTAAAACAAATGCAGCGTCAGTTATTAAAATATTATAAATCAGAAAAATACTGGTTGCTATACAGATTATGAAAGGTTATTTGCTATACAGTTAACATTTCACTGATGCACATGCCTTAACAAAAACATACTGCCAGTATTCCTTATAAATTTTTCCTTTTTTCAGTGTATAAAAAAATTATGAAAACTGAATTGTCTAAAAAAAAAAAAAGTCATATAATAAAACTGACCCATAATGTCCTTACTGAATTATTATACTTCAAGAATAAGACAAAAAGAAAGACTCCATAGTTTTGGAGGGCAAAGAAAATGTCCTGTCAATCAGAAAAAGACTGTGAAGGCTGTTGAAGTTTCTAATCAAGTGATTTCCTAAATCTAGAAAACTATATAATTGCTCTTTCTTAATTTTAACAATCCTTCTATAGTTGGGAAAAGATTACAAAAAGTTTGGATGTAGTTCAATTACAGCAGCAATCTACTCATCATTTTTCTTTTTTTCATTAAAAAAACAAAAACAAAAACAAAAACACACAAAAAAAAACCCCAAAAACCATTACCCAGAAATGTAAACAGTTGTTTGAACAACTTACAGACTTTCCACTGAAATGGTAGCATAAGTAACAAAATACATTTTGGGGAAGCAGTAGCAGATTGCTTTTGAATTACACAAGCACAAAAACCTCACAGGGACAACATTAATGTACTGAAATATTTATTTATATATGTCCTTAGGTTGTGCTTACCTGTTGCTTTTTGCAGCAGAACCTAAGGTGGAAGGTCTGGGAAGGCACTGTGAAGTATAAATAATTGCACTGTTTGCAATTAATAAAGATTTTAAACCTTAAATGAATCAAAATCAACAGCCTCCAATTTGTGAGTTATGAAACTGAATCCAACTGAGCTATTTCTTCAGTTTAATTAATAAATGCACCACTTTCCTAAATGGTCATCTATAAAACAGTATCATGCAAAATACTGAAATTGTTCATGTCAATAACCCTACTCTTAAAGATAACACATAACTAACTCCTTAACTATTAAACTTGAAACTAGAACTACATATCCATATCTAAATAAGGGCAAGGGAAGTCACTCCAGATTCTATGAAACAATCAAAAACATTTCAAAATATCTATAATGAACTGAACTGCTATCTTCTACCCTATAAGTAATCTCAACATTTATGTCCTTGTACATCTCCCTTAATATTCAGAACAACTGGTGCTCCCCACCAATGAAAGAATTAATATATATTTATGAAATGGTGTTAAACTGCTACATTGCTTAATATTTGCAAACTGAAAACCACTTCTGTCTGATACATTTCAAGTCTTTCATATTAATATAGAAGATATGCATACTGTACACTGAAAAACAATATTTTTAGGAGCACCAATGAGTAATACTATTCAATTTTAATGATCAGTTTTCTTTAGCTATAGCTAAAGCATATCAAAAATACTTACCCATTAAGCTCACTTAAAAAAAAATACAGACCTATGTATTATTCTATGTTAAATTAAGAAGCAGTTATGGTTTTCCAAGATATCAGCACTGTATTCCAACATAATATTCACACAAAGTATGGCATTTACATTATGTGGAACATTGACAAAAAGATACTGTTGCAGTTCATCAATTTGTCATTCTGATGTACTTACAGTGCAATGCTCCTTGAAGGAACACAATCAAGGATGATACACAGCACAGTCCTCCTCACCCCTACAGAGCTAGTTCTATACTGGCTGGATCAAACCTGCACTTCAACAGACAATGGCAAGACAGACTGTATTTGCATGTAGTCTAATATATTAATATGCAAAGAGCCAACAAATATGCAAAGAGTAAACAATGGATTTCAACAAAATATCAGAACTTCAGCATGAGTGTTATAGAGTAATAAAGTGATTTCAAGTACATAAAAAATTAAGTTGATTCAATGATTGGACTTGTGCATTTACAAAACAAAGCTTATCTATACTGCAAAAAGAAAAAAAAAAAAGGAAAAAGCTTGAACATTTCCATACCCCAATAATGTTTCAATGGCAGATGCACTGTAGCTATACTTTTTGCATACTATTCACTTTTCTACCCTAAATTTAAAAAGAAACACACTAATATTGTATACATTGAAAGTTTCTTTACATGAAAAAACTTCTTATTCAACTACTCATACTCACTATCCGAAAACTGTTTAAAATTAGTTATGCTGAAACAGTCTTGGAAATCAAGTAATTATTAAATTAAGAACAGAAAGGTTAACTGTTATAGCAGCAGTACAGATCTGAAACAGTGGTCATGTATAAAAGGAAATTTCACTGTTAATTCAATGGAAGTATGCCAAAAGATCATTGTACACACATGCAGGTTTTAATCAAACAGAAGGGAAAAAAAATGAAGATATCAGGATTACTTGTGCTGAAACAGCCAAATACAATAAATGGAAAAGATCCTCCAATCTACTACTATACTGCAAGGGGGAAAAAACATGCCAGTGTTTAAAAACTCAATTAATATTTCATGGGGAAAGCTTATATATTTGTGTATATGTATCTTAATTTATCATTGCTAAGAAATTATGAATCCTTTAAATACCCACATATCCAACTTACCGACACAGGAGGTTTCATATCATTTATTGTAAAGCACAAAACAGGCATTTTAAAAGTGAAAGTATACATTGAAAAAGTACATTTATATCACAAAGCATTGACCACATAATAGTTGCAAATACATTTGCTGGAATGTGTACATCTACACTAAATACTAAAAACAAACCAATTTTCATTTCTACACAGAAATATTAACCTCCTATCAGTAGTGATAGATATTTTGTACATTTTCAAAAAAAAAAAAAAAAACACTATTTTAAACCAAAAACAAATTAAGATCTTCATCAAGTCGTCTGCATCCATATATTTAACAAAGGTTTTTTTCCCCCACACAATGAAGCAAATACTGTATTGTCCACTTCTTATTATTGGCCCTGTGCAGAAGAGATACATAAGAAATACACAAAAAGTTAAAGAAAATCCTTTAAATGGAGCTAACTCAGGAGTGAATCCTTTAAGAAAGAAAAACTGGTTAATATAAATGGTGGTGGCTTCTTGCATGATTTGCAAATCCCTGGGGGAAAAAAATTTATTTTTAAAATCAAAGGCATTGTAGAAATATTCAGCACTCAGATGCCAGAAAGCATTTATAAAAAACAAACAAAAACCCAAACAATACACCAAGGTACTTCATTTAGTTATGCTATGCCAGATAAAATTAAAAAGGCAAACATAATCCCAGACAAAACAGTAAACATGCAGAAAACATGATTGGATCAGAAATCAATACATTAGCAAGTTTAGTATACCTGAGGTGCTGGAGGATGCTGTGGCATTCCCTGGGGACTTGTCTGGGCATAGTAGGCTGCTTGTTGTCTATAGTACTCAGCCCAGGCTGCACTATAATCTGGCTGACCACCTGGTGGAGCACCAGTAGGAGCAGGAACCGCTTGACCTTTGAGAAAACAGAACAACTTTGTTACTGTAACCACAATTAAAAGCCCAAAAGAATCTCATTTCTAATAAAAACAATACCTTGCTTCTTGTAATATTCCTCCCAAGCTTTTGAATAATCTTGTGTCTGCCCTTGTTGACCTAAAAAAAACCCCCTAAATTTTAATACAAAATTATATCCACTGTAAGTACAGGTTATAAAGACAAGCACAGAGGGTCAGAATTGCTCCTGTTTTATTTTATATATTCATTAGTGTCCTATTTTATTTTAAATAGTTATTAGAAAATGATACTTGTAATTCAAAAATCAGAATGCTGTTTCTTTTTGCCTTATATTAATCATTAACTTTTAGTTCTAGAGTATGACTATCAATAAAAAACAAAATCGAAACCATCCGCACAGTTTTAACTAGGAAAGGAGAAGATTTAAGTATCTTAATGCAAAATTTGAAAATTAATGTTCTAAAATGAGTTTGGAAAGTACTTCAAGTAAGCAATCTATGGTACCCTGGTACTGATGCTGGGCACAGGGATGGGAAAAACCTTTATTTTTTTGGTCTTATTCATTTGGATGTTACACTATAGGTTTTAAATAAAATGTAAATCCTTAATGGAGAAAAAGAACATTTTTGAGAACAAAAAAACCCCACCTGAAAGCTATTAAATATTTTATTTTTTTAAGATCTTGTCAAGATTTTTGTTTCCTGATTAGTAACCTATAACCTGTATGTACAAAGACTAATCTTCAAGATACCTTTTAATAAGATGTTAAGAGTTGCAATACAATGTATTCAAATCACAACAAAATTATATTAAAAGTAACCTGACAATTACTGAAGAGGCTCAAAGCAACAGTGACCAATGAAACATAAAACCCACAGCTTTCATGAGCAGCTTTTTCTAGGCAGTGTAACTTCTGAATTTAGAGACTAAAGAGACTTAACAACCTAAATATATTCACAAAACTAAAATTGGCTCCGGATTAAAAAAAACTTAGCAAAACTCACACACACAGCAACAAAAGACACTTTCCTAACAATCAAGGAAATTTAAATATGGTGTGTACATTGATAATATTACTGAAATAATCTAAGTCTGCAACTTAACTTTGTAAAGGCTTAGGCACAATAAATACGTACGCACACACAGACACAATGTACATACGGTAAGCTTTTAAGAAGTGTTGAATTTGAGTGAATATAAATATGGGTGTTTGCTGTACTATTTTCCAGTTTTCTGAAGGTATAAAATTTTTTAAATAAAAAGGTGGTGAGAAAGAACACGTGTTTTCTTATTTAGCTCCTTTGAGAATTTTATTTAGCTTGTAATTACTTGACCTGATGAATTATGGCTAGACAAAAAATACTGAAGCACAGACACAGAGAAAGCTCTTTTTATGTTTTGCTGGATACTGCCAACAAGGTTAACTTTATATAGTTGCAGAAATTAGTATCTATCAGCATCACAAAACTGGCTGAATAGAAGCAATTAAGTGAAGCTAATTTTAACATTTATGAGTAACTTTAAAAACCCAAGAAAAACCTCCCTTCTATAAATAACAGCAGAGAAAGCCCATGTAATACAAACAAAATTCTTATTTTTGCTTTTCCTAATTCTCTTCAAAGAGGAATTGAGTTTAACATACTGATCCTATGAGGAGACACTAAATTAAAGCAAATCTGAAACAGGTTTCAATGACAACTGCCAAATACCCCAGATTATCAACAGTAATAAAACTACACAATGTCTCTTACAAACTATACACCTGAAAACCTGCTGATTTAAGGCCAAACTTGGTTAAGACACCAACAATTTTTACTTTGGGTTTACAAAAAGGAACTGATCACTGTCAAGATACTCATTTTAGAGGCAAAATAATGTAAGATGGTAGAAACAGGGAGACACATTAAGAAAATTCATCAAACTCAAATGTTCCCTTCCCTCCCTCCCCTCAAGTATTTCTGTGGAAAGTGAAAGGTAAACATGTTAGACTCTAAGGAAAACAAACACTTGGTAAGTCGTAACCACCTCACACTCCAATCTTGAAGGTGTCCAAAGAAAAACTCAACTCATGCCTCCAATCTGAGGGACAAATGTGATTTATCTTGCCCTGCAGAAAGTAACCGAAGAACTCTTCCTATCTACTTCAGACTTGGCTATCCCCTAGCCTTTTGTGCCTCTCTGCCCCTTTTACAAATGTCCTTAGCTTGCTCCCTTTATCCTTAGGTTCAAAAACTGTTTTGAGGCCAGATAGTTTTAGTTTATGCTTTAGAACACTACTTAATATTTACATATAAGTTTACAATATGTAAGAGGTTTTACTTTCTTTCATTTTTTTTTAAAGATTTTTTATTTATTTGACAGAGAGAGAGATCACAAGTAGGCAGAGAGGCAGGCGAGGGGTAGGGGGAGGCTCCCTGCTGAGCAGAGAGCCCAGATGTGGGGCTTGATCCCAGGACCCTGATATCATGACCTGGTTTTACTTTCATTTTACTCAAGAAATGAGACTTGGCCTAGAGTTCATATATAACATTCTATTATTACAGCCCAACACTCTAAATTATCTCTCTAAACACCTGCATCTTTCCCACAACCACTTTTTCCCTACCACTCACCCTCCACCACCCATCCCCCTGGGCCTTTACCCATTAAGGTATCACACACCAAAGGTGACAGTCTACTATATCAGTGTTTAACACTGTAAGGGCCTTCCTCAACTCTCAGCTTTTCCAAAAATGCCTTCACTATCCCTCTTCCAAAGGGTAACTGCCAGTCTCTACTTTGAAATCCTGTTTCATCTCTTTTGGGTGTTTACTTATTACAAAAGTTTCCTTCATTCTAGCTTCAAAAATACCTACCTTTCCATGTTGGCTGCCATTCCTTAGTAAGACTTAAAATTTCCTTCATTAACTCTCTATAATCTCATCTTTATGACTTTCTCTCCTAAATTCTGATGGTGTTAATCCTAGGAAATTCAGGGGCACCTGGGTAGCTCAGTGGGTTGGGCCTCCGCCTTCAGCTCAGGTCATGATCTCAGGTTCCTAGGATCAAGCCCCACATTGGGCTCTCTGCTTAGCAGGGAGCCTGCTTCCCCCCCCACCCCCGCCTGCCTCTCTCCCTACTTGTGATCTCTGTCAAATACATAAGATCTTCAAAAAAAAATCCTAGGAAATTCAGATTTAAAAACTTAACTCCTGTTTCAAGAGGCTTATTTACTTATAAGCAAACAATGACAAATTTACAGTATTAGTATTTCGTGTTAAGAGAAGCAGCTGAGGGGGCGCCTGGGTGGCTCAATGGGTTAAAGCCTCTGCCTTCGACTCAGGTCATGATCCCCAGAGTCCTGGGATGGAGCCCCATCGGGCTCTCTGCTCTGCAGGGAGCCTGCTTCCCCCTTTCTCTCTGCCTGCCTCTCTGCCTACTTTTGATCTCTGTCTGTGAAATAAATAAATAAAATCTTTAAAAAAAAAAGAGAGAGAGAGAGAAGCAGCTGAAGGGCACCTGGGTGGCTCAGTGGGTTAAGCCTCTGCCTTCGGCTCAGGTCAAGCCCCTCATGGGGCTCTCTGCTCGGAGGGGAGCCTGCTTCCCCCACCCCCTGGCCTACTTGTGTTCTCTGTCAAGTAAACAAAATTAAAAAAAATAAATAAATAAAAATAAAAAAAGAGAAGCAGCTGAAATTTGCCTTCAAAAGCTGGGACAACCTGTCCAGTTTGGTAAAGAGGACACTGGACTGGGAATTGGAATGTCCAAAGTCCTAGAAAATCCCAGTTCTGCCACTGGAAGAGTTCAACTTGGCCTCTCCAAACAAGGGAGTTGGATTTGGAGATAAAGATTTTTATCTCCCTAATATTTTATTAATTTCTTCCCTTTCATTTAAAATTTTGAGGGCATCTGGCTGGCTCAGTCACTTAAACACCTGACTCTTGATTTTGGCTCAGGTCATGATCTGAGGGTGGTGGGGTCAAGCCCAGCATTGGGCTTCACGCTTGGAATGGAGTCTGCTTCTCTCCCCCTCTGTTCCTCTCCTTGCTCACAAGCTCTCTCTCTGAAATAAACATAAAAATCTTAATAAAAAAGTAAAATATAAAAATTTTGAAAACTGTCTCAGTAAAGCATGAGACTCGATCTCAGGGTTGTGTGTTAAAGTTGCATGTTGGTATACAGATTACTTTAAATACATACACAGAAACATACATACATAAGATCAATCTTAAAAACTAATTTAAGGTCACTCATGTGTGGTTGTTCTAAAAGTATCCTACCTAAAGACTAGTAATGCACCTAGGAGAAATGAGGGTAAAGCAACCAGTCATTTAACAAAAGAACTTTTAAAGGAAAAAACAGACTTTGTAGCTATCATTAAAGACCTGGCAATTTAACATTATTTTCTTTAAGATTTACAAGTGAGAGAATCCTCTGCTCCATAAATTAACAGCTGATCACTGTCATGCTACAGAAAAACACACAACTGGGGAAAAGGGGGAAAAAAAAAAAGGGTAGGGGATAAGGAGGTTCTTAAGCCAAACACAGTATTATTTAATTATTTCTGTAACTTTTTTTTCTCCACAAAGGATTCAACAGAGTCCAGGACACTATGTATAAAATTAAAATTTTATAGTCAGCAGAGTAAAGATAGAAAATGAAAAAAGAATGGCAAGGTGAGAAGTCTATCCTTAAAAATCTGAATGGTATTAAGACCTCACAGATTACATTCAACACACACCCCTCACTTTGGGCAAGTATTAAAAAGTTAAACAGTAATTAATGGCTATGCTGCAAATGAATGATAAAATACACAAAAACACAAGTTGCACCAATTCCCCAATAATTCTCTAGTCCACAAACAGGCCTATTTTTACTCATTTTTAATATTAACATAGGGAACATCTCTGGCATATTAACCACCGTGAAAATTCAAGTCAGATCCAATGATCTTTAACTGCAGCAATTGCAAATGTTCAAATCTTTAAAATGGTGACACTATTTCATAAAAGTTAGGGTGACCCTAAGTTCTGACAGAATAGCATCCTCAGTTATTCTCGAACTATCCATATCTGAACAATAAATTATATTATCACCCTAAATAGAATATACTGTTTGGGAGGAAAACAATTTTTCTTTCTTTAAACAGATTATCAAGCTCTGTAGAACATTCTTATCACCAGGTAATTGTATCCTACACAAAAAGATTAATATAACTACCCTTCTGGAATTTCTTCTTTCTGTGGAGGATGACAAAACATCCATGGGCAAAGAAAACATTGAAATTTACATTGAGAATCTCAAATAGACTGTAACTTATGAGAAAATTCTACCATCTTTAGATCTGTTCTATACCAGTGAAAGATGGGTAAGTCTGTTTAGCTTTCTTTTATGACAAGTGGCTGCGGTATACATGTGTTAATTTTAGATGAATAACACCACAGGCTTCTAAAAGCAAAAACTATTTGTTCAGAAATACAGCTGACCCTTGAACAACTCAGGGATTATGGGTACCGACCCCTGTACAGTTGAAAACCCAAATGTAACTTTGACTTCCCCAAAACCGAACTGATAGCCTTCTGCTGACCAGAGGTCTTACAGATAGCACAATTAACACATATTTTGCATGTTTAACTATTACATACTGTATTCTACGACAGACTAAGCCAAAAAACAAAACAGAACAAAAACCCTAAGAAAATCATAAAGAAAATTCATTTACAGTACTGTGAAAAAAAAAATCTGCTTATAAGTAGTCCCATTAAGTTCAAACTTACATTGTTATTCAAGGGTTAACAGTAATAATTCCCAGGTTCCAAGTGGTCCCAGGAAAAAGCAAATTTGGGAGATAGACTTGGGATTTATGCCCTCTTGGGAGTTCAAAATCTGCTGCTACCACTCGGTAGCTATACAAATGATGTGTTAGTGGAAATATAGTTCTTTTCATTCATAACAGTTTGTAGTAATATACTTGGCAAAGTACTTGATTAACAATTGTATCCTCCATGAGAATATAACCAGAAGGGCAGGGGCTCCTAGCTATTATGCCCATAATCACATTCTCAGCTCTATCGTTAAGTCTGGCATGTAGTATATGCTCTACAGTTACTTAATGGAAATGGCTTTTCTGGGTGACTTTTTCCTTTTTCATATATACAAATGTTATTTAAGTAATTAATGTAGTATGTCACTGTCAGTTTTACTTTGCAGCAGAAAATACCACATACAACCCTTTTTTTGCTTGGCACTCCAGAATTTAACCTATGCCAGTTAGGCTTCTAATATATGTAACTATCTTTGACAAAAGCCAAGTAACACCCAGTGTTATGTGTGCCAATGGAGCAATTTTTAGTTTCAATTATTAAGTGGTTGACAAATGCATTTAGAAATAAAAAGACTTCCTTGTTATGTGACCACAAACTTAAGAATTATCTGTAACAATCCCAGTACACCTAAAAGTTCAGTGATTTTAGAATGCATTCAACTATTCTCCACTTCAAGATTTTAAAAGTTAAATATAAAAAAAGTCTCAGTAATAAAAAAAATTCAAACATCATTTTATCGGAATCTTCATCCTTCTATGTGGTATTTACTAAATGCTTCAATTTCAATTTAATTAAATGTATAAAAAAGAAATGTAGAACATACCCATTTTCTTGTAATACTCTTCCCAAGCCTTGGTATAATCAACCTGTCCAGCTGGAGCTGGATTCTGCTGATCTCCTTGTTTAAGAAAAACAAAAACAAAATAAGATTAAGGGTTTCCAAAGACATTCTTGGCCCTTTCCTTCTGTTGAGTGGAGAAATTGGGAGCAGCCTGCCATAGTGACTGAGGGTGCTGTGTGGTAGTGGGATTCTTGCTCCTGCCAAAGACACAGAAAGCAGGAGGTATAGAGACAGTCAACAGAAAAAAATCTGTCTATGTACAATGGAAGAATAGTCACACTGAGCATTTAATTCATTGGTTAAATAAGGAAACACACTGAATATACAAGGTCTTTCACAATTTATAAGCATGGAAAGGGAAAAAGCTACAAAGAACCCTGAAGTGTTATAATGGAATTACAGGGGATACGACAATCTTAGAAATATATACATGTATAAATATTTATGTTGTTTCATGACTGTGTATACAGATATACACACAGGTAAATTTCCTAGCTCTTTATGCTGAAAGGATTTAGAAGCAATGACACCTTGGTAGCAACGAACACACTGAGTTTGGTTTCTTGGATGATGGTATTTATTAAATGGAATCAGGGCTCCTTGGAAAAATGGCTGATTCTAGAAGCTTGAGCCCAGGAAGCACAAAATAATGTTATTGTGCAAGAAAGTAAGGATGTGCTTGAAGAATGACAGACATGTCAAAAGAATACAGGAGCCATCTTGAAGGTACTCCTGATTGGCCAAAGCTAGGGCAATCTGTTGATCAAATAGTATAGACAGTTTAAAACATGACATGTTGAAAAAAACAGGAGGCCATACTGGTATAAATAGAAAAAATACTTCTTCCCTACAGTACAATACCAACTAAGATATATAAATATAAAATGAATGATGTAAAAAAAATTATCATCATAGTTGTAGCTGAATCAGGAATGTTATCATAAAAGCTGCTGTTAGGAATAGAATACTCCTATAATCTCAGTATAAATTCTCCAACAATTTTTACTTTCAAAGAGAAAAATGCAATTTTATGGTATAAAAACCTGGTGAACACCAACATGATGAAGTGACTATGGTTACCATCTCCAGGAATGAAGCGGGTCAACATTATGTGACCCCATGATATAATGCCTAAGAGCACAGGATTATTTCTGAGGTACTGCCAACTCCCAAATAGGACCTCAAGAGCATGACATTATTATTGTGAGAAAAAGTTGAAGGAACCTATGTTGATCTGATTGTCATTACATAAAACAAAATGTTTGTACTTTTTTGCCGGATGGGATCCTGGATCAGAAAAGAGAAACTGAGGGGACAACTGGTGAAATCTGAGTAAAGGTTCTGCATTGGGACAGTAATGATGTATCAATGCTGACTGCTTAAGAGCGCTGTATGATGGTAATGTATTTTTGGAGTAATGCAGAAAGGGTACTTAAGGTTACTGGGACATGATGTGTACAGCCTGATCTTAAAATGGTCCTGAAAAACTACTGGTAATGGATATGGACATGTATGACAGGCTAATGGGACAAACGGGAGGTGGGGATAAAATATTAACAACTAGGTTACCTGGGTGTTCTGTAATATATCTTACAACTTAAACTTTTATGAAAGTTTGCAATTATTTCAAACTTATTTTCAAAAATGGAAAGTCTGCTCACTGAAGCTATAATTAAATATTGTAAAATTTTAGGTTTTATACATTGATGTACTTCATATATAATTCCAAACACAAGTTTCTACTTCTACATACAAAATAAATTCTTTAATTACCATAGTTACCTTGTCCATTGGTTTGGGTTGTAGTTGGTGCACCAGCAGGAGCTGCAGGTGGTGGCTGTGCTTGCTGTTGATAATAGTGAGCATAATAGGCAGCCCAAGCTGCTGAATTTGGATCCGTTCCTGCCTTAGCTAGAATAAACACAAGTTCAACGTTTGCATCTTAAGTCTGTAATCTCTCTCTCTCACACACATACATACTCTTTGGTAGACCCCAAATTAAATGGCTATCAAAAAATAAATAGTAAATGGGAAGTTTTCAATTCTATTAATTAACATTCATTAGCTTTAATTACAGAAAGTGAGGTACAGACATTAAGTGATGTTCCTAGAAAATGAGCTGAATGGCAGAATTAGGATAGGAATAAACATCTTCTGTCTCCAAATTTGATGCTTTGCCTCAAACCATCCTGTTGCCTTAGTTTTTTCCTAAAACTGGTTTTGCCTCAAGCATAGCAGTTCTACATGGCAAATGACTAAAACAAAGGATTTCTAGGAACTAATGTGTACAAGAAACAATTATCTGAGAACTATGAATTCTGTCCTGTCTTGTTTTGGATGTAGAGCCAACATAAAAATCTTAAAAAATAACCAGATTAGCCATATTTCATCTCATCATATTTTACAATAATTATCCTAAAACATACACTTGATATTATTGCCCTACTTGAAATTCTTCATTAATTCCAGAGTCTTCAGGGTTGTCAAAGCTTTTAAGTGCAACATTATCACCACTCAGTATCTTTAATGATCTAACCCCTTGGCTTGTCCTTCCCATTCTAGCCCTATCTTCCCCCATTTGTCAATATTTTTCCAACACAGTAAACTGCTTGTACTTTTCAGAGGTTGCCATGTTCCTTATCTGGCCTTTGACCATGTTATGCTTCCTCATTTCATCCTTCATAAAAATCAAACTCATGCAGTAACAGTTTGAGATCTCTCAGTCAGAAACAGAAATCTCTTCTTGATTCTGTCCTTTATATGAAGAATATCGTATGACACTACAGATACATCTTAAAGTTTATATTATCAAGGAAAATGTAATTTCTTTAGCCAAAGTCTGTATCTATATGAAATCTGTGTAGCCTTTATCCCAAATGGGCATCAAGTCTCAGCTGTTTAATAAAGTTTGAGAAAAAAGGAGCAAGGATTTCTAGAGTGATACAATGGCTAAGGTAATACAATTTTAAGGCATTATCCACCTTCCAAACCTTCCTCAAGTAATAAATGCACTGCTTTTCTAAGTTGCACGTTTATATCTTAATTATGTCATTACCTATATACTAATACAAGTATTTCATTTGACACCATCTCTGGCCAGAGAAACTAAGACAAAACAGACTTCAGAAAATGATACTTGAACTCCTGAATGTGTAGAGGGTGTAACAGAACCAGTCCAACAGTTAGACATAACTAATACATACACAGAGATTTTATTAATTATTCATTCAACATGATTATCCTTCATTTATCATTTTAAAGGTAAGAAAAAAGATACAGAGGGATTAAAAAACTTGCTTACTATCACACAATTATTAAAGGTGTAGCATTAGGACTTATCTGGGTCTGTCTCACTCTGAAATCTAAGTTCTTGACTTCTACATAAATTCTTAATAGCCCATTTTTTTTTTTTAAAGATTTTAGTTATTTATTTGACAGAGAGCTCACATGTAGGCAGAGAGGCAGACAGAGAGAGAGGGGGGAAGCAGGCTCCCCGCTGAGCAGAGAGCCCGATGTGTGACTCGATGCCAGGACTCTGAGATCATGACCTGAGCCGAAGGCAAAGGCTTAACCCACTGAGCCACCCAGGCACCCCAATAGCCCATTTTTTTTAATAGAAAAAGATTTAGTTCAGAAAATACGAACTTTGTCATGGCCATATTTAAATACCAGAATGTTAATAAGTTCACCAGAAGTTTCATCTAAGTAAATTATTTTGGTTTTTACATAATGCAAAATCTAATATAAGCAATATCTATCCCTAGCTATCATCTTTTAGCTAAATGGGTTACTTCATTTTCCAAAGGCAATGCTGTAAGCCATATTCATCAACCAATTCTTAATGTGGTGACTTCACTACTACTTCCAGTGTGAAATCAAGACTGTGATAGAGATTACTTCTAATTCCCAACATTCTCTCAATCATGTTACTGATCCAAACAGTGCTCATAAGGTGCAATCCTACAAATCCAAGTTTCTCAATATAAATTCACCACTTAACTCGCTCAAACTCTTGAATCTCTTAAATTATGTGATTTTTCTGTCTAATCACAGCATCCTAGTTGGCTTACAAGAGGGAATGGAAAGTCTTTTCATTCTTAAAAGATGTTTATACTATTATACACTAAATTATATTTAACTGTCTTTCAGTCCATCATAGCATTGCTAACATTTAGAGTGTACTTTTCTGCTATAGAACATAAACTAATCTTTGCATACCCACATCCTAGCACACTCAAGTTGTTTCTTGAATGAGTGTAGTTGTAGTTATTTGCTTATTGTCATGCTGTGCAATCATATTTCAAAGAGCACACTTCCTATGAAATTAAAGTATGTTACAATATAGGACCACATTTAAATAACAAGAATGTTTAATCAAATTCACTAAAACAATTGCATTTAAATCAATTATTTAGGTTCTTTTAAAAAATAAATACACTAGTGTGGAAAGGAATCCATAATTCAGTACCTTCCTTGAAACTACTCCAGTGAAAGAGGCCTAAAAGATAGGTAGTAGGTGAGAAAGAAGGATCATAAATAAGTGTTAACTGATTTTGATGAATGCCCCTTGGACCATCATGAAAAGAAAACTAGAAGATGGCAGATGCAGGAACAAAATAGAATGTATATATAAAATCCAGATCTGAACAGAGAAAACATATAACTTAATGTATTTTTGAGTTCTAACATGCAGACATTAAACACAGCCCTGTTTTTTACTAATATGTGAGGTTACCATATCAGGAATATGAAAACGGCTTTTATATTTGAGAACTTCAAAGTTTAATACTCAAGTATTAAATGCTCCATTAGACACTAAAATAATTCTATAAATAAATGTACATTATTCTTTCATGGATAATGTCACAATTACACATTACACATTTTGATGGCACTAGTATTTAAAACTAAGACATTGTATTTCTTCCTGCAGCTTCTGGCTTTTAAAACTATGCTCTTATCACTTTGAAAGGGCAGAAAGCCAAATTCAAGTAGAAAAAAGTTCACTGAAAACAAACCATATACACACCAATCTTATACACGGAGGTAAAACCAGAAACTAAGACTCCCACTGAAATAGTCAGTGCAGAAAATGCACACAATGTAGAACTGACATTAGAAAATCTAGGAGGATAACAGGAATGATAATACAGATTACACATGAATAATAAATGTCTTTTACCTGGATCAGGAGGGGCCTGTTGCTGCCAGTGTGGATATGCATTTCCCCACCCCTGGGGAGCATAAGGAGCTGGAGGACCACTGAAAAGAAAGAAAGAAAATATAAAAATGCAATTTACCAAAAGCTATAATCTTTGGGCGGGTGGGGACCCCAGAACCAAACTCAGTACTTACTGAGGAGCAGGACCGGGTGGTCCTGGATTATAAGGTGCAGGGTTGTATGGTCCCATTGGAGTTCCAGGCCCTGGAGGCCCAGGAGGTCCATGGGGGCCTGGGACACCATGGGGCCCATGGGGTACAGGTGGCCCTAAAGGATTTACTGGACCCTATAAAAAAGCAAAAAGATGTACAAAAAAAAAAAAAATCAGAAAAATGGTAATGGCTGAACAAGTCAAAGGCTGAATTAACCTTCCATTTCTACCCTTTTATATAGCCACAAGCAACATATTTTAGATTTTCCTTCATCTCCTCATTCATGTTGCTTAAACTCTTTACCACACTGAGACATGTAAATTCATTACAATCAACAGCATCAGCAAAGAACTGAAACATCTCCTTTACCTTCCATTCTATTCCTTTCAGACTATTCCCTTCTGTTATTTTGCTTTCCTTTTTATAGTTCTTTTACCACTCCTTTATCATTTTAGTCATGGAAATATGTTGTCTCTAGCTTTTCTTTTTCTGTATACGTTCTACATCTACTTTTAAAAAAAAACATTTTATTTATTTATTTGACAGAGAGAGATCAAAACTAGGCAGAACAGCAGGCAGAGAGAGGGGGAAGCAGGTTCCCTGCTGAGCAGAGAGCCTGATGTGGGGCTCGATCCCAGGACCCTGAGATCATGACCTGAGCCAAAGGCAAAGGCTTTAACCCACTGAGCCACCCAGGTGTCCCTGGATCTTCATATTTATATCATACTACATAGTTAATAATGCTTAGTTGATTTTCCTGTTCATAATCCAACTTGTAAAGACCACTAGCCTAGATTTAACTACCCTAAACACAGCTTTTGTGCAGTTAATACGGATAATAACATTTTGGAGCAAACTGCTTAAATCACATTTGGTTGTCTATTTTCTCACTGCAAAATAATGAAGCTAAACTTCATGACTTTTAAAATCCTTTTTATTATTTTATCCTTTTAAGTCTCTACCTCCTGTCATTATCACTCACTTCCATTATCCATAAACAATCCTTTCCAAAAAGTAAAAATGGATTATTGAAAAAGTATCAGTTATTTTTACAGGGCTATGTGCCAGACACTCATCCCTACAACCCTGTAAAGCAGCTACTATTATTCTCCTTTATAGATGAACAAACGGGAGGCAAACAGAGTATAAATAGCTTACTCCAAGGTCACAAAGTTAGTAAATGAGTCTGAGTATTCTGAATCCTAACAACATGACTTCAGAGTCTCATGCTCTTAACCACCATACTAAACTGCTTCTCGGTAACAATCTATCTTTTTGACCATCAAGTTATTAGAAACCTTGATCTATGCATGTTAGGAATCATAAAACCCTAAACCAAGACGTGTTCATTTTTCTAGCATCAATCTCTGCCACTACCAAGTTCGGAATTATTTTCTTCACGTTTTTAAACACTTACTGTCCATACCACAGAACTTACAATGTCTGTATGTATTTTTAGAATACATTCTTTCTATTTTTAAGTAATCTCTACACCCAACGTGGGGCTTGAACTCACAACCTTAGATCAACAGCTAAATGCTCTACTGACTGAACCAGCCAGGAACCCCTATAAGACATTCTTTAGGCATCTTTTATACACCTATTTGTCTTTCTCTGTAGACAGAAACAGGGTCAAACTTCTATTGTATTCCACCCACAGTGTGGCAAACATCAAGGAGAATTTTCCTAAGAAATTCTAATTGTTATTAATAACTTAAGATGCTCCCTTATGCTCTATAGTAAAAGAATGCAAGAAAACACTAGTTCCTCATTTATAAGCAAGCACATTTAAGACTCTATGAATTTTTTGTACTACCACCAGGAAACTGTTCTACCACCAGGAAAAAATTTGCAAATTTGGCCATGTGTCTGAATCACCTGGAACACCCTTCTAAAATCAGATGCTGGGCCCTGTTCCAGACATTCTGAATCAGAGCTGTGTGGTATGAGTAGAGGTGGAAAGCATTCAAGTAGTATATATTTTAAAACTTCCTAAAAGTCACTGCCAGTCTAAGAGTTGGATTTGTAAATTTCTACTCTAAAGTGGGGGATGCATTTAATTCATATCTGCCTCACGAGGGCTGAGTAAAATAAACCCATATTAAATACTGAATTCCCATTAACAATGCCCTTCAAGTATACTCTATAACCCTCCAACCCTAACATCAAGTAACATTATCCATTTTCTACTTATCCCCACCCAAATACAAGTTTCTAAACCCTTATAAATGTATATTTAACTGGGTTATTTTTCACTGCTCGAGAGTCTTCTCTATGTTACATGTACCCATTATATGATGAAACATAGTCTTAAGACTAGAAATTGTCATTTTTCTATATAGCAGTTATAGGAACATGTGAATTAATGTCTTATTTAACTAAGAGGGTCTATGTATAAACTAAAGTTAGTTATCTATTTATGTATTTGTTTTTTTTGAACTCTTTTTTTTAAAGATTTTATTTATTCATTAGAGACTTGAGCACACAAGCAGGGTTGGGGATAGGGAGGAGCAGGCTCCCCGCTGAGCAGGGAGCCCAATGTGGGGCTCAAACCCAGGACACCCCAGGATCACGACCCCAGCCGAAGGCAGATGCCCAACCGACTGAATCAGGCGTCCCTATTTATTTTTTAAGTAAGCTCTCTGCCCAATGTGGGGGCTTGAATATCAAGATTCACATGCTCTACCAACTGAGCCAGGCATGCACCCCTAGAAATTGAAGTTTAAAGCACACTCACACCAATCTTTTCTTCTATAAGTTGCCGCGCATAGTCTATTTGCTGTGGAGTGCCACGAATTGTAAATAATTTCATATTAGGATCTGCATTAGGTGGAGGATTTCTCTGAAGTTCTATTCTTGCACCAGACTGTTGGCTTATGCTTTTTATGGTTTCACCTCCTAAAATCAAAAAACACAATAATTTCTCTAAAGATCCAAAGGATACAAAAGTAACTACCTAAGTGAAAATGGTCACAAGAGAGCCATAAAAGTTTTGAGCAGTATCCCATCTGCCAATATTCTTTTAGATTTTCCATTTATTCTACACTTGTAAATCAAGTTCTATAAGGCATTTCATGCTTCTCCTAAAACACGTTCAAGTTTTTAAGACCTAAATTAGTATGTCTATACCCAACCATAAAATGAATTATAACAGAAAAACTAACTTATCAAAATATCTGGCTCAAATAAATTGCTTTTACAAGTAACATAAACCAACACACTTACTAAAAAATCCTAAATTTTAAGAAGATGTGAGTTAGGAAAAAGCAAATGACACAAATACCAAACCACTTTTTCGGTTGAAAGTTTCTTACATTAATAATTAAAACTGTTGGTCCCTTCTCTAGTAGCCAATGTGATTCATATCGCATTTTTATTTTATATATAAGGCCCTTCCTTTATGTTTTTGTTACAAATCAACGTAAGATACAGCCAAGGAAAAATCACTGCTACTGGTGTACATTAGAAATAGCATCCAGAAAAATCAGGTCATGTGTTAAATTTTTCCTATATATCAAAACATTAAGAGTTTAAAATACATTGCCTTTTCCTATTATTAATCCAGTTTTCCCAGTTGGTACAATGAAATTAAATTCCTGTAGTCCACCAGGTGGTCCCATGTTCCAGTTGCCTTGACCTCTACCTCTTCCTCGACCACCAGGTCCAGGTCCACCAGGATTACCAGCCTAGAGAAGGAAAGAAACAAAGTCAACACAGAAGCGTACTCTTCTTTCCATGATAGTCATTCCATGTCTATCTTCCTCAACCTTCATTTTCCTAAACCACAAGTTTAAAGAGGCTGGGAGATGATATGACTGCCAAACAGTCAACAAGTAATACCCACTATTTTTATACTGTGATAAGCAAGACAATCCACTTACATAGCTACCTTCCTGCTCTAAGATGTCTACCTCAAAGCAACTTAAACTTCTTAGTTATTAACAAAGTATCAGCAGACAAATTCTTATACAAAACTAAATGGGAGGGGGGACCCTTTCAGACTTGAAGAAAAATATTTTTTAAATGAAAACAAAACAATGAAAATATTAACATCTGTCAAACCTGAACACTTCGAAGAAGGTCTGTAATAATTTCTGCAGCATGCTGACATCGGTCTGGAGGTCCTGTTATTTGTGCTATTCTATCAGGTGTTGTTCCATCATCTTCAAAACAAACAAAATGGTTTGAGTTAGCAACAATGCATGTCAAAAAAGTAACTGCTAATAACATATAGATAACGAAATATGTACTCACCTGGCTTAAACTGAATTCGAACACCAGCATCATTTTGTATTTTTTTAATCATCTCTCCATTTCTTCCTATTACAATGCCAACAGCAAATCTTGGAATGGGGACCTTATACAAAGAAAACTAAGTATTAAAGAAAGCTATTCCCTGAAAATTAATCTATCTCAAATCGTAAAAGTATATACAGCACTATGGTTGCATCAAATAGGGTAACAAGATTTATATTCTGTACTCTAAGGTGTAAGTTACGGGGAGAGAGGGCAGGAATCCAATGTTAAAGAAGGCTATGTAACACAGAACAAGAAAAACACATGTATTTATGAATTAGTATACAACCATCTCTAAATGGGTATTTTTACTTACATCTATCCCTTCATTTCCTCCTATTCTTGACCCATACTCATTTCGAACTTCTCTGAAACCACCTTGATCACGGATTAACTCTAACACCATTTCCTTGGCTTGCTGAAGTACAAACAAAACACAAAACAAAACACCCAATTTACAAGGCATGTCTCAAAACACAGTAATTATATTCCTATGTGTTTTGCCCATTCTGTTCCCAAATCCTTCTATGTAAAATATAAACAAGTTTACCTGTACTTTGTATGGGTCTCCTGTAATCCTAAGAGGTTTGTCAGCACCAGTGTTCTGAGGTCCATCTTGAATCATAACCATTTTAACTCCAGCCCGCTCCTATTAATCACAGAAATCATATGTATTAACAAAAGGGAAGTGGAAACGAACTGGCTTCAAAAGAGATGAAAACTAATCACTTTACAGAATAATACCTGAAGTTGTTTAATAGTTTCTCCCCCCTTTCCAATAACTAATCCTGCCTTGCTAGCTGGAATCATGATTTCTTGAACTGCATTTCCTGGTCCATCACCATGGTGGAAGCCAGGGGCTGGTCTTCCTTTTTCAACAATCTGGTCCAATAATCGTTTTGCTGATCTGTTAACAAATTAGGAGTCAAACAATAAGTTATAGCATACTCAAAAACTTATCCAAATACAGAAACACAAAATAATATAATCACATACTTCCCCCATCCCAATTCAGGTTTAGGTGGCTTAAAGCTATTTAACAATTTTAATTAAGAGAACATCAGGGACAAAGAATGATTACACAATAAATTTTCTAGGTATACAATTTGCAGTATTTTTGAGAACAGTCCTAAATTTCAAAGAAGTAGCACTCTACTTTTTTTTCCACTTTACTTTGAAAGTCATCTAAGAATTAAGCTACTCTGCCAATAACTGAATGATGTATTTCCAATTTTAAAACACCACTTTGGTCACTCACACATTAAAATTTATTTATCCATTCAAAAATACTTTAGAAATGTTAACTATATACCAAGGACAATACTAGGTAATAGAATTACAACACTGAATGAAATGCACAGGGTCCCTTCTGGTACAGCTTACCTTGATTAAATAACTAAAAAACAGCATGCTTGGTTAAGTGATACAAACAAAATTAAAACAGAATAAGGGGGACAGAATGTGTACATAAAGATATGCTATTTCATGCAAAGCAGACATAAAAGACTTTACTGATAAGATATCTGAACTAAAATGTAGAGGAACAGAGGGAGAAACTATGAAAATATCAGAGGGCAAAATGTTCCAGAGAGAAGAAACAGGAATTTGCAAAGGTCTCAGATGAGAAGCATGCTTGGTGTGCTGAAAGAACAGAAGCTAAATGGGGCTTAAACACAGTGAGTTGGGAGGAGAGAGGTAAAAAATGAAGTGAGAAAGGTGGCAGGTAAATCAAGCCATGATAAAGACATGGTGAAGCATTAGAGGATCTGAGCAAAGTAATGACATAAACTGATTCATTTTTTTTTTTAAAGATTTTATTTATTTATTTGACAGAGAGAGAGACAGCGAGAGAGGGAACACAGCAGAGGGAGTGGGAGAGGGAGAAGCAGGCTTCCCGTGGAGCAGGGAGCCTGATGAGGGACCCGATCCCAGGACTCTGGGACCATGACCTGAGCCGAAGGCAGACGCCCAACGACTGAGCCACCCAGACACCCCCTGATTCACATTTTAAAAAGATCATATGGCTATACTATTCTAAGAACAGACTACTTCTGAACAAGGCTAAAAAGAATGGAAACATGTTGAAATATAGACAAATGGTCACAGACAAGGTAATAGTATAGAAGATGGCAAGAAGAGGCTGGATTCCAAATAAATTTTGAAGAAAAATGACCAAAGCGTTGCTTATGGATAAATGAAAGACAAGAAAAAGATAAAGGTAATTTTAACAAATTTTTAAATTTATTTTGGAGTGCTCATGTTCAGGGGTGGGGTAGGGGAAGTGGTAGAGGAAGAGGGAAAGTTTCAGGCAGACTCTGCTGAGTGCAGAGTCCAACCTCACAACCCTGAGATCAAGACCTGAGCTGAAACCAAGAGTCCGGTGCTTAAAGGACTGTGCCAACCAGGTACCCAAAGAAAAAGATAAAAGAGTATTAAAACAGTGCTGCCATATACTGAGATGAGTAGAGGACAAATCAGACTGGGTAATGGGGTGGAAAAAAATTATGAACAATCCAAAGTCTGAAATGTCTAGTAAATATTCAAGTGGAAATACTAACTGAGCAGCTTGATAGGACTCTGTAAGTTAGAAAAAGAGAGCAAGGCTGAAAATAACAATTTAGGAGTACATAAAATTTATGATATATAAAGCTACATATTAAAGTTTGTGAAAGAATAAATGAAGTCATCTGAGGAGTACACGTAGACAGACTGTAGGAGGGCTGAATTTTGTGGCACTTTCATACTTGAAAGTTCAGGAAGATAAAGCTGGATGACTAAGAATGACTGAGAAAGCAGCTAGGGAGGGAATATCTCTAGGAAAGTGGTTCCCTCTGTCAAACAATGTTGATGGGTGGAAAGATGCAGAGGCCATATGTGATCTTGAAAAGAGCAACTTCAATGGAACCATGGGAATAAAAGTGATTCATAGAAGTTTAAGACAAAATGAAAACAGATGCAAACGACATGGTGAAGAGAGCTACTCCTTTTAAGGAATTTTATTGTGTAAGGAGGCAGAGAAGTAGAAATGTGAGGTTTGAGTTTTTGTTAAGATGGAGGGATTTTTCAGCATCTTTATATATTGTTAGAAATTAGCTAGAAAATGGGAAAACTAATAGTGCAGGATAAAATCAGTTAAATTTAGGGGCAAGGTCCTTCAGCAGGAAAGAGGGGCTGGCCTCAGGCATATGATTTCATACTTACTGGACAGATTCAGGTGTTCCAGTTAGCATACAAGACCTTTCTGGAAGGCCACCACTGTCTACAATTAAATAAAAAAACACAAAAATATTTTAGGCCAAAAAAAGATAACAATATCACTTTCGATAGTTACTTAAAAAAATACGCTAATTTTCAAGTTACTTTTGAAAATAGCAAGAGAATAACATTACCAGGAGCGATAGTTACTTAAAAAAATACACTAATTTTCCAGTCACTTTGAAAATAGCAAGTGAATAACATTACCAGGAGCTATCTGTATTTTGCATCCAGATTCTTGTTGTATGCGTGAAATCTGTTCACCACCTCTGCCAATTACTAGTAAAGAAAAAAGAAAAAAAATTATTTGCTAAGACTGTAAAGTATGTTTTGACTGTTTTCAAAGCTTTAAAAATTAGGTTACTTACTAAATCCAACCATTCCATCTGGAACTTTGTATTCTTCTGTCATTACAGACCTGCTAACAAAAAACAAAAACATTTTCCTTCAAAGAAAGAGAACTGATTACATTCAAAAGGTAATCCAATAAAAATGGAAGTCTAGGGGGCGCCTGGGTGGCTCAGTGGGTTAAAGCCTCTGCCTTTGGCTCAGGTCATGATCCCAGGGGTCCTGGGATTGAGCCCCGCATTGGGCTCTCTGCCCCCCCCGCCGCCTGCTTGTGATCTCTGTCAAATAAATAAATAAAATCTTCAAAAAAAAAAAAAAAAAAGGAAGTCTAATGGCTTAAACTAGGATTTCAGGCACATATTCATAGTCAAAAAGCAGCTTGAGTAGTTCAAGTCAAAATCTTAATGGGACACACACCAATTGAGGAGGGTATGGTAGATAAACAGCCTGAAAGCATTAACTGCAAAGGAGCTGGGGTGGAGGTTCTTAACAATTATTTTCATTTGCTTTAGTTCTTCAAACATGTGGCTAATTCTACCTTCCTTCCAAATTACAAATATATCTCACTCAAAAGGAAAAATGATTATTCTGTTCTCAACTAAAATGGACAGAAATGAATAAAAAAAGAATATACAGGCACATATTCACTATATACTAATTTGTGTTTTTACAGACATTTCAACTAAAACTTGCAAAGTACTCTTCGAAAAGCCTTTCACTATACCTTTGCTGCTGATGCATCGGTGGTAACTGTGTTCCAAAAGCTACCAAAAAATCAAATAAAATGAAAACTTTAAATTTAAGTTCACACATATTTAACAATACAATTACATCAAGCAATACTATAATCTTTCCCATACACACAGAAAACACCACCTTTGAGAGTAAACTTTTAGGCAGAATACTTAAATCAACATTGACAGTGGGCAAAAAGTCAGTGAAACAGCAGGTATCATTAGCAATGACATAGAAAGAAACTGTTCTTTCTCAAGGGGCACAAGCTTAGGTTAAAAAATGGTGCTATAAAATTGAATATGAAAATAATTTAGCCATCAAATCGTATGAATATATGTCTAGCCATAATTCAAGTGAGAGATTATGAAGACAAGAAGTATTATTTACAAAGACATTCATTCTAAAGTATTCTGGCCATCAACTAACTCCAAAGACACCCAACAAAAACTAGGAATAAAACTCTGATATTAAAATTCAGTTACTTTAGCTTTTAACCCAATTTAAAATACTTACAGTCATTTTGAGGAGCAACTTTCTTAGCATCTGGTTGATCTGCAAAATTAAGAGCCTTTTAACTTATTGCCAGTAAGTACAAATACAAGACTTAGCTAACCCGTGCCGCCCAAGCAAGAATATCAATGTAAACACTTATTGAAACAGCTGTAGGTAATTGTTGATCATTTGAACCAAAAGTGACAAAACTTATCCCAAACTCTTAGTAATCAAAAGAAACATTACATTTCTTTCATTCTTTTCATGTTTAAAAGATGCACAGACATTTAAAAAAATTCTTTTTTATTTTATCAAATCACTGACCTTAATGTATGTTAAGCACTTTAGAATGATACAAGACAAAGTATTTAGGTCCATTACTAGCAAAATATCACATGCTAAAGGCTAATGATGCTTCCCACTGTAGGAACTGAAGACTGGAAGAAAAACAGAACCTATCAAAATGTGAAAATTTGACATATCAAAGTTGAGTGTATCTGACAGTGACCACAAGGCTATGCAAAATAATAAAAAAATCACATTACAAGGCAATCTCAATCTAAACTATTCTACTGTTCCTAACCAAACATTTCACGGCATACGCTTCAGCAGAAAAACTCAAAGCAACTACATGACTACCTTCATCTACATCCTTTACACAGATGAATACAATGCATACCTTAGAATAGACAACCTACATCTGAAAGTACTACATTTTCCTCCCCCCTTCAAACTTAAATGATTAAACATCAGAATGTTGTGCAGCAAAAATTCAGACACATAATCCAAGAATTATTTGTGTCCAGTTAAGAATCCACTGGTTTATTTCACGGTTACATACTAAACACAGGTAATAAATAAAAATTCCTGCCTTTAAAAGGAGAGGGCATTCCCTCCCAGTGTGTTGTACTGCTCGGACTTGTCCAAGAGCCATCTACACATAAAATAAAAAGAATACATTACATACAACATCTGAAGCATCATTAGCTCATTTTTTTGTATATTAAAACCTCACTATAAATGTGAAAGACACTTAAATAAAAGGAAACCAAGTACACCTGGTCAAAAGCTACAAATACATTCTACAGGCTCATTCAGAATCCTCCTTAAAAAAAAATTAAGTAAATAAAAGGGCAAAAAGAAAATGTATCAAAATTCATACATCAAATCTAAAACAAAAAATACTTGCAGACTTCTAAGTTCAGAAGCTTCAACAATTACGTTTTTTTAAAGAATGCAAAGCACTGTAAATCTGTTTTAAGCCACATTTTGAGTTAAACCTGAAACACAAAACAAGGTACTAAAACAAAAAAAAAAACATAAAAAAAGGTATAACCTGCAACACACTACAGTAGCAAGCTATAGCAACATCAACCTTTAAAGTGAAATCTGAAATAGCAAAACAATAAAAACATAGCATATAAAGATTAATTCACATATGATGAGAAAAACCAGTGAAATGTCTTCTAAACATTTTATATTTTTGTTCTTTTCAGTATATTAACAAGATGTCTGTGCAAACTGTCAATCTGGCACAATCCTAAAAGAGAAAATGTTGTTTTCTACTAAGACAAAACTGGCTGATTGACTCAAAATTTTACCTACCTTGTCTAAGGTCTTCCCCCCCCTTTTCTCCTGAGGCCAACATAAACTTTACAATTTTAAGAACATTATAAAAGCAATGTTTCAGTAAAAAAAATTTGAAAAATATTGAAAATCACCTTCAACTAACCTGTGTGTGAAACAATTAAAATAGTTATGACTATAACTTACCTCCATCTTCCAAAGGTCTTTTTTGTCCCCCATAACCATAGTCATTTGAATTCAGTGATGTACCAGCATCACCTCCAATTTTTGCTGCAATCTTAAAAAACAAAAGCACACCATCATTAAGGATAACATCATAACTACTATACACTACTTAGTGCTATATTTTCTCATACATATATATACCAAATATCTAATACATAAAAAATTAATATGAAAGAAAAACAAAAATTACAGGGCCATGTATTACTATCATTAATATCATTAATAACTTCAAGGAGTTAAAAAATTATCATCTGGAATTAAGCTTCTGATAAATTTCTGTAAGAACAAACAAAGAAGTAATCAATCAGGAATCTTCAGAATCAACTGACCACGTAAATAGCTTTGAGGAAAATGTGGTTCTAATTCTATCTTCTCCATGGCTCTTTCCCATGACACTTCAAAAATGTGCTGTAGGCACAGAGAATGTGAACACCTTATGGGATTCCAAGGCTGTGTTGTCTAATAAGGTAGATGCTAGCCATACATGGTTATTTATTGAGTATTTCTGGCTAGCCTGAATTAAATATTTAAGTACACAAATGGATACTGAAAACTTAAAGAGTGGAAAGCATCTCAGTTTTTTTTTAAATTGTACACATGTAACATTTTGGGCATGTTGCATTAAATAAAATATGTGACTTGCATTTTATTTCTATCAGACAATCCTATTCTATGGAAACATGGGGGTGGGGGAAGCCTGGGAAGCTGTATCTCTAAGAAAAGTCTCAGCTACAGAAAAATAAATCATTTCATTCCTAAAAACTTTTTTAGAGTGGGGCAAGTAACTGCTTACACTTACCTAAACATCATATTAAAAAAACAGCAGCCTCAAGTCATAAGACAGGACACAATCAGTAAAAGAAAATGTATATTTTTTCATATATTTCAATATATTCAGTATATTGAGTAAGTTCAACATACTGAATATATTGAACAAATTCAATATAGCCAATATATTTCATGTATTTCTTTAAGAGTATTTACTTCATTTTTTATGAAATGAGATATGGAACTAATGTTGCTGAGTGCCAGCAATAGGCAAAACTCCATATAATATGTTTTATACTAATTTTGTCACCGAATCATCACAACGACCCTAAGAGATGAGAATACTTAGTGAGATAGTGATCGATTTTACCGGAGGAAAAAAAAATCTCAAGAGGGAACTTAACTCAGGTTACATGGTAAGTCAATGGTGGAGATGGTCCAATTTCTATATAGCTCCACGCTAATTACTAGAAGGGGGTAAGCATCAAATGTGAGTGATACGCTCATTAGGGCCTCATTACATTATTCTGCTAATTCTGAGTATGCCTGAAATTTTCCATGATAAAAAATTGCTCAGGAAATTCAAACATCTGGTGCCTAGAATTTCCCCAAAGAATCCTGATGTGAACTAAGCCAACTGCTTCATGCTTCATTAGAATTAGAAAACTGGAAAGAATTAAGTATATTCAAAGACTTGAGTCTTAAAATCCACTTATGTATCACTTAAAATTGAATATATATTCAATTCCCAACTGTACTTCCTAGGGTTTCTAGATTTCCCTTTTCTTCCCAAAGCACACCAGGATTAAATATTAAAAATGCTTGATTTAAAAAAGGCTTTGGGGGGGGGGGGGGGACCTGGCTGTCTCAGTCAGAAGAATCTGTGACTCCTGAACTCAGGGTCCACATTGGGTGTAGAGATTACTTAAAAAAAAAAAAAAAAAAAGGCTTTGGTCAATCTAACCTTCCTTAATCATCCTTTCACTTACTCAAAAGCCTGTTCCATGTCTTTGGGCAGCTATAAAATCTTTCTTCTTTTCTGAAAGGTTTCTTCATCAAACCTGAAAACAACTGCTTTTCCACCAAGTTTTAAAAGGCTTAATTAACATTTGAATTGTTCCTTATTACTTAAATACACTGCCTGGTACTGATTTCAGAAGAACTATTTCAGGCCAGACAAGACAATAACTACTGATGATCTTAAGCCGTGAGTACCTTCTGCAGTTAGCTTTTGTAAATGCTGCGTGAGTTTGCAGAACACCACTCCTTGAACGCCAAGGAACTTCTGCACAGAGAAAGGATACTTATTTATACCTCCCTATTATTCATTATTCATTGAATAGTTCTAAAACTATCCAAATGAAAATGAAAGGTTGATACTTAGTTAACTCAAGAGAATTAGTAACACCATCTGAAACTTTCAGAAACAGTACAAAGACATTAGAAAAGAACTCTCAGTAAGAATACTAACAACCATTTTTAACACTGTCCCCTCCTACAACAGAGGAATTTATCACAATTAAGCTTTGCTATCCTGTTACCAAATGTAGAAACAAACCAACCCCCCCAAAAGCCTACTCAAGTACTAGTTTTCAACAGAAATTAACGTTAACTGAAAAACAATTCTATTTTATAAAATTTTCATTGCATTCAAACAACAATTGCAGCTTGCATCACTTTTGCAATCAAGGAAGAGATTCCAAGAATAACTGAATACTTAAAGACTAATAATTGTTTAGAAGCTAAAGAATCAAGGCTTATACTCTTGCTTTAATGCATGTTCTACCAACGATGGAGTCCCACTCTGATTCACTTCTATCTTCCTGATGTCAAGGAGAAAAAAGGTAGAGAGATACATTTTGACCTTTCAACATTTCAGAGACAAACTTGCCTTAGTGTGATCACCAAACTCCTAACCAAAGAATCCCAACCCACCCTTTGGAGTTACAGCTTGAAATACACAAATAGAGATCTCTCCAGTGTACCGGCTGGAAACCCTAAACTAGAGAAGCAATTTGGTGCCCCTGTGCTGAATTTAGCTCAAAGAGTATTTAAAAATCTGGAAATTACACATTAAAAAATAAGCCATTGGAATTCTCCGGAAAAATGAGCAATTTGGTCTAAATTACCAGATGGCAAAATGAGCTAGGCAGTAACCACTTGTCCTGCATTAACAAAGAACCGTCCAGTTAAAAAAAGCCAAGAGCATCCCCGTTAGTACACAGTTCTGAGGGCAAGAAGCTGTTCTTACACCTCTTCCTTCCAAGAACACAGCATAATACGCTGGACAAAGAAAAGAAACTTAAGGTTAGATGAAGATTTTGGAAATATAATCCAGCATGCTTTTAATATAGATAAGGAAAAAGTAGTTCAGATATTAACCTAACTTGTTTCTTCAGTCCAAGTACTCCTCCTTGTATTCCATTTATATATCAGAAAGCAGCTACAACTGACCTATAGAGGCATCTTCAAATGTAATCAGAAGGGGAAATTCAAATCAAAAGCTAAATTTAGGAATCTCAGGCTTAAGATCAATTCTGTAAAGAAACAATCAAATTATTACAGCAAGACATCTATAAAGAATCATATCATTATAACAAGAGCATTAAGGCAGCTGACCTATTGGCATAAAAAGAGAGTACAGGAAATCCACAGTTTGAGGGCAATTTCTATATTTAAAAAAGCCATCTAACATAATCAGGAAATTACAGCTTAGCCAAATAATTAAGTCCAATTTTTAATTAAAGCATGGCAACCCGAGGCCTTTCAGAAGTTGTATTCATCTGTACTCACCTCAATTTCCACCCTCTTCCCCAACCAACATTATCCTCCAGTGACTTCATTCCTGGGTTCCTGTCATTCCAAAACCCTCATACCTTTGCACATGCTGCTTCTTTTTTCCACTGATCAAACTTTCACTCATTCTTTAATGCCTTGCTTAAAATATCAGTCCTTTGGCAGTTAGGCACCCCACTCTTTGGTGTTGTGTACAGTGCCTGACTCACAGCAGGAACTCTATAAACGTTTACAAAACAAGTGGATAAATTAACGGTGCCCATTTTTGTCTACTCCTCTCTGAATGCATTAATCAGATACTACTATTCATTTGCATTTGGTTCCTTGATTGTATCATCACTTCCTAGAAGGCAGAAATACAATTCACACAGTAAAAAAATCTCTAGTATCTAAGTTTAGTGTGTAGCACAAATTAATTCAATACACTGGTCAAATAAAGTAATGCAGGTGAGTCCTTCAACCAATCTAATAATAATCCTCTAACAGTTTATGTCATTATATAAATGTTTCAGTCGCTATTACAAAAACGTTCAGATGAAAGAAAATCCAGGTGAAAAATTACACAATTAGTATTAATGGTGCCTTTGGCTATTTCTGATCATACACAACTACAGGTAAGTTTAGTTATGTTCACATTGTAAAAATAAGAGCCACTTGTTACATTATTACAGAGTTCAAGCAGTTTGACTCAAATGATGCTTTGATGCAACTGGAGAGTGAAAAAGATTAACAAAGTTAACTAACGCAAACAAAACATACCACAAAATTAGTTTCTGATTCCCGTTCGCTTAATGCTATAACCTAAAAATGTAACTAGAATAAAATTATTTTGCTTACATACAACTCCATACCAACATCACACACTTTAAGTTATAGTTATGTTAAGGGACCATCTAATAAAGTTCCAATTAAGAAGCCTTTAAATTTCCTGGAGTAATTTTTTTTTTTTCGTTTGGGAAAGAACTGCCTTCAGGGCAAATGTACGCACCTACGTAATACAAAGAGGTCTGGTCAGTTTACGACTCTTAACAGAGAGGCAGATTCAAACTGAAACTCGGATATAATGGGCCTGAAGCCATTTTGAGAAATAAGAGGAAAGGGCTGGTAGAACACACTGACACATAAATCCTGCTCTGAGGAAGGATTCTAACACGGGATACTAGTGCTCTCTTCCTTGAAGATAAGAAAGTGAATGATACAGAAGATTAATTTTGAGACAGCCCGAATGAGCTGGAAGCTGTAAAGACTGCTGTACTGACATATCCCTCCCTTATCACGGTTCCTGAGGGCAGACCCTAGTCCTCTCCCAAACTCATTACCAGAACCTTCCATACCATTGTGTAAAAACTACACGCGCTTTATCCCACGGAAAATGTTCAAACTGAAAAAAAGGAAATGCCACGCTAACTCCTCAGTGAAAGAAGCGCGACTGCCGCAGAAGCGAAAGACCTAAAGCCATCTATGCGTAACACGCGTTGGGGTTCTAAATGGCTTAGACGCCAAGATACACAAAACCGAGCTCCGGCCTCCGAACTGTATTACCAACGTGGGGAACCATAAATCTCCTCACATTTCAGGGCCCGGAAGGGCACTTCTTTCCTCTTCCTCATGCGCGAAGAAGTAGCGGCCTACTCAGCCAGCGGCCAATTACCATGAGCGTTCGGGATCCCGCCGCGAGGTCCAGACTTACCTGCCGTGCTCTCTGCAGCGCATCTTTGAAAGCATCGTTAACTCCCCCACCACCGCCGCCGCCGCCTCCACCACCAGCTGAGCCAGAAGAAGGTGGAGGCACTGTTGAGTAGTCTGCCATGCCTACGCTACAGTGGCCGCTGCCGCTTCTTCGCAGACACCTTCCCTCAGCCAACTGCTAAGAAAGAAAGAAAATGGCGGCCGTCGAGCCTCTATCACATTCTTGTGCGACCATCGTGCCGTAAAGGGGCGGAGACTGAAAGGAGAAAATATCGCGATGTTTTGAGGCAACGAACTGGTGTGGGGGTGGGGCTAAAAAAAAAAAAACAAGGAGAGGCAGAAGGATGTCGCGAGACTTGTGTTTAAGATCTCGCGAGAGTGGAGTTTATTTTGGCGCCTCCTCTGTGCGCATTCTCTTGTTGAGACTGTGTTGCTTCTACTTCCGGGGTGGTGGGTGAGACCGGCGCGGCAACCCCGGTTGGCTTGCATTTTTGAAGACCTCAAGAAAGAGTAGTTGGTTTTTATTGGTTGCAGACTCGGGGAGGGACTGTGGGTGAATTTCGCGCCTAGGGTCATTTTCTGTATCCAAGGGAAAGAGGGTAACGTCGACAGGCGTAAGGACGACGCTACAGTATCTCGAGAGCGCCGCAACCAGGAGTGTGCCTGGGAGAAGGGCGCCCGGGACGCCACGCGGAGATGTTTCTGAAAACGTCCTCCGGGCCCGGCGGGATCTCGTCCTGATTTTCAGGGTAGTAAAGTGTCCCTGTATTTTAATTATAGATTGGCAGATGTGTTTTATCGCAAGTGGGGATGAATTCAGGCTTGAGGCCTCTTAGTTCTCTAGCTGATTTCGGTATTTTTGTGTAGTGTGGATGAGGTCAAATTATGACTGCCCTTTTCCTTTTAAAAACGTGATTGTTCCTAAAATTCTGCTGTAACTACACTTAGTAACCTAGTATGTGTCCAGGGCCAGTTTTATTGAGATCATCTTAGAGTTGACAAAAACATCATTTCTTGACCAAAATTGACTTTGTGGCTTCCGGAAGTTCCTGTAGTTTCTTTAAGAACCCAAATATAACGTGATGTTCTGAATTGTCATCCCAGGCCTGGATAATTAAGTGTGTGTATTTTATGTCATCTACTTCAGTTATCAAGTAATTTCAGACCTTCCCAAGCATTTGGTGGCACATAATTTACTCCAGTACTAGTAGTGGCTTCAGACTCATTTGGATGCTTTACGAATCTTATTTAGGAGTCGATCAAAGTGATAATTTTTTTTTCTCCAAAATTCCCTTGTTTTTAGATAACAAAGACCGAGGTAAAATGAACGTTACCAATTTTGGCATTTTATGTTTTGTGAGTTAGGTCTAAGAAAGTACTTTTCCCATTGCTAGTCAGAAGAGTAATTGGAAGAAATGTGTGTTGTGATCTTCCTGATAATTTCAGTTAATGTCCTCTTGTTCAAGGGCCCAAGTAAGATAACTAGACATACATGCATGTAGCTGCAAGTGGGCGGACATTTTCCTCCAATGAAGCTTTTCCTACTGTCTTAACCATTTATAGCTCTGATTATCTTCTTCAGTGTTCGTACCTATCCCTTTAGGTTTGGAGGGGTGAGGATTTGTATTTGGAAAAGCAGCAAATGTATTGGACTACAGATTTAAGTATAACTGGGGGAAAAAAAACTAAAAGCATTTTGGGTGGTGTTACTAAACAATTTTTTCAGTTATGTTTTGAGAAAGTGTGTCTAACAAGTGACATTAATCAACTGATTTTTTTCATATTTTATGTATTAGGCATATACCCATCAGTCCTTCTGATCAACATAATGTTAACCATAGAGTGATATGATTTACCTGCAAACAAACTTTATTTCAGACAATTTTAGTTGTCTCTAAATGTGCAAAGTAAAGCCTTTCATCTGTATTTTATTTGTAGACTCTCCTGGAACCAGGGTGGGGAGTTGGAATCAGTTTAGATTAGGATTCCTTTTTTTTTTAAACTTGTTTTTTTTAAAGATCTTATTTATTTATTTGACAGAGAGAGAGAGATCACAATAGGCAGAGAGGCAGGCAGAGAGAGTAGGGGAAGCAGGCTTCCTGCTGAGCAGAGAGCCCAATGTGGGGCTTGATCCCAGGACCCTGAGATCATGACCTGAGCCGAAGGCAGAGGCTTAAACCACTGAGCCACCCAGGTGCCCCCAGATAATTATGTTTGGAAATACCACTGTGTACTGAAATATGTTTAGCACCATTCTTAGCCTCTACCCATGGATACTAGTAACATAACACCACCCCCCCACACACACCACCACACACACTCAGTTGTGGCAGTCAAAAACATCTCCAGACATTGCTGATGTCCCCTGGTAGGCAAAATCATCCTACATTGAGAACCATTGGTCAGCCTTAATTCCTGCCCCTGCCTCTCCATTGGGAAAACCTATTTACCATACTTCTGTGGTACATCCCAAATTCTATTAATTTCCATTTCCACTACTCCCAAGTTACCATCACTTAGTCCTGGACTGTAATAGTATTCTACTTGGCTTTTCTGCTTCCACCCTTAAATGTCTATAATTTGCTTTTTTAAATTGTGAAATTATAAAAATATGTAATATACATGTAAGTTATCAAAAGTAACAAGGATCCATTACCAATACTTTTGAAGTTCAAGCCTCTACCCGACTATATTACAATTGTTTCTTCATATAGCAGCTTGAATGATTTCTTTCTTTAAAACAAATCAGATCATCTCACCTTTCTCTTCCTATTACACTTTTTAAAAGATTTATTTCGGAGAGAGTCTGTATCGTGGGGGTGGGCATAAGGGCAGAGGGTGGAGGAGAGAAGACTCCCCACTGAGTAGGGAGCCTGATAGGGCTCCATCTCACAACCCTGAGATCATGACCTGAGCTGAAGCAAAGTTGAATACTTAACCGATTGAACCACTGAGGCGCCCCAAGTACTTTAAAATCCTATCTCCTGGAGTGGTTTAAGGGTTCCATATGAGCAGGCCACTATCTCTAAACACGCCTCACTTTCATTCTTCTTCACTGACCTTGCTGTCCAAGATACTTCCTGCCTTTGGGATGTTATGTTTGCCTTTTCTTCTGCCTGGCCTGGATGCTTTTATAGACTTTCTCGTGGATGGTTTGTCCTCATCATTCGAGGCTCAGTTCAGATATCACCTACTTAGGCCATCTCTGACCTCTAGCTGTGCCATTCTGCAATCACTATCCCATTACCATTTTATAGCATTTATCTGAAATTATGTTCTGTGTGTTTACTTGTTTATTGTTTCTTTTCCTTTAGAATGTAAACTGGGGAACAAGGACTGTTTACCATTGACCAGTCCCTAATGCACAGTCAACATTCTAGACATTTGTTGAAAGTGCATACTGAAAAAAATCTGCCTCTGCATTTTAGTTGTGTGTGGCCTTGGGCAAGTAACTTAGTCTCTATGTCTCAGATTTCTATTGATGATCATAACTTCCTTTACTGTCCTCAAATGAGATAATCTGTGAGTTCTTCAGAAAACAGAAAGTGCTATGCAAATGGAAACTAGTAATAAACTTGTAATTTGGCTTCTGGCATTTTATAATCAAGAAAGGATAATCCGGGCGCCTGGGTGGCTCAGAGGGTTAAGCCTCTGCCTTTAGCTCAGGTCATGATCCCAGAGTCCTGGGATTGAGTCCCACATCGGGCTCTCTGCTCAGCAGGGAGCCTGCTTCCCCTCCCCTCTCTGTCTCTCTGCCTACTTGTGATCTCTCTCTCTGTCAAATAAATAAATAAAATCTTTAAAAAAAAAAAAAAGAAAGGATAATCAGTGTACATTTTTTGGATTGCAGTTATGTTCAAATCTTAGTTTTGGTGAAACCCAGGAACCTGCAAGAGCAGCTGAATTGTGGGAAAACTAACCAGAGAATTTTGATTAGGCTATGTGAGTTCTCAATCTCAGAGCCATTTGTACTTTTCTGGTTACTTTTAAAATTGATGAGATCAGGCTTTTCTTGACTAAATTTATTCCCTTTTACAATGTAAATTTCTTAAAAGTGGATGTATCATAGCTAATAATCTAAAATTGGCTTATTATGCTTTGATATTGGCTAAATATTTGGCTGAATCATATTTTATAGTCAGACTCTTACCACAGAAATTGGTATTTCATATTTTATCCTTAGGAAGAATTAGAAGTTGGTGTTTTGAACTTCCAGAAGTACAGTAGGGAGCATTTAGATATACCAGATAACAGAGTGAGAAGATAAGCAAATGCAATTAAAGTTGAGCTATTAAATGCAGTGGCAAGTTTCTTATTTTACCTTCTGACTTACTGGTTACCAAATGACTACATGATTTTTTTCTTAGCACAGTTTTCACTTTTGGATTTGTTAAATCTGTGAAATATTAACAGATTCTTATTTTTAGCTTTTGGAGAAAAGTCCATTATGGCTTTTTAACAGGCATTTTTTTTTTTTTTAAGATTTATTTATTTTAGAGAGGGAGAGAGTCCGAACAGACTTGCTTCTGAGCACAGAGCCTAACAAGGGACTCCCATCTCACAACCCTGAGATCATGACCTAAGCTGAAACCAAGAGTGGGATGCATAACTGATTGTGCCATCCATGTGCCCCTTAACAGGCATCTTAGACTGACAGAATTGTACAGGCTTCCTGCCTCAACTTTCTGTGGATCACCTACCTCCTAACAGCTCTTAGCCAGAAGGATCTGAAAACTACATGTATGTCATTTAAACCAGGCCAATATTTCCTCAGTACATAGTTACAACAGATTCAGGTTAGATGTGAGGAGGGAAGTGGCCACTTCAAATTAAAGTAAATAGTTCAGGATGTCATTAGGGTGTTTGATCATTAGGTTGGTTTTTGGTTTAATGACTTTTATATCCCTTTTGACTGAGTTTTTAGAATTCTATTTCAGACTGAGGTGTGAATGGAAGCAAGATATAATAGCATTTTATTTTTTTTAAGATTTTATTTTTGCGAGAAAAATAAATTTATTTATTTTAAGAGAGAGCATGTGAGCACATGAGTTGGGGGGAGGGACAGAGGGAGAAGTGACTCTCCGCCTAGCAGGGAGCCTGATTTTAGGACTTGATCCTAGGACCCTGGGATCATGGTCTGAGCTGAAGGCAGACACTTAACCAACTGAGCCACCCAGGCACCCATATATTAGCATTTTAGAGAACAGAGTTGTTAATACAAATTTACTTTGGAACATTTTGGAAAACAACAGTTTGACCAGTGTCTGAAACTGGAGGTAGCCCCAGATAGTGGAAAGGACGCTGGGCTAGGTCCAAGAAGATCTGTGTTGAAGTATGACCCATGTGCCCTTTGGTAAGTCACACAACTTCCTTTTACCAGTGTACCAAAAAGAGAGGGCAATTTAATCTGTTTCTGAAAAGTAGCCAACAGTAAAGGATAATAAAAGGTCTTATGTTTTTACACTGTGACTTCTGTTTTCTCTTTCAGAAGTTAATAATACTATCATCTCATGCTCAGTTATTAGAGATTTCTTCTCTGATTTGGGTACCAAATTTGATAGTATGTCCTGATTGAAGGGCTGTAAGTAGACTGAAGAATACTAGGATATTGTTTAAGATCATTGATTTGCCCTAAATCTAGACTTCTATTATCCTCGTCATTCTCACTTACCCATAACTGCAGAGCTCCCTTTTTATCAGGTACACTTCCCACCTCTTCCATTTTACTATTGCCTGGTAATTTCCATTGTAACAGAAAGCCTGTCGAGAACTCTAAAAATTCAGGGATTCTTAGTTGTCAGGTACTACGTCATGACAATAGTAGCACAGTATCGCTTATTGTTTATTTGGAATTCCCAATAGATTGTAAGGTCCATGACAGTAAAGGTTATGTCTTTTTCTGTGTCTTTACTGCATAGCACACTCATAGCAAGAGCTGATAATGGCTAGTGCGATATACTGGGTACTGTTCTAAGTGCTTTGTCTGTATTTAATTCATTTATGCTTACAGTGGCTCTATGAGGTGCTTATTAAAATCTCTTTTGCTGGGGTACAGGTAAGTTAACTAACTTGCCCAAGTTCACATATTAGTAAGTGTTAGTGATCTGAACCCAGGCGACCTGTGTTGAAAGAATGGAAGAATCTATAAAAAATCAAGTAATGAAATGGATCTCTGTAGTTTCCTATGGTGTGGTTCACAACTTAGTGTTTATTACTCGGATTTTAAAAATACATGCATTTGTTTTTATTGAGATGTATGCCAAAGTTCTTCATGAGAACCAGGTCTTAATGTAAGGTAATAAAAATATTACATACAAAATTAAAGAACCCATGTGTTATATAAAAGGATAAAGGCTTGGGGCGCCTGGATGGCTCAGTGGGTTAAAGCCTCTGCCTTCGGCTCGGGTCGTGATCCCAGAGTCCTGGGATCGAGCCCCGCATCGGGCTCTCTGCTCGGCAGGGAGCCTGCTTCCCCCTCTCTCTCTGCCTGCTTCTCTGTGATTTCCGTCTGTCAAATGAATAAATAAAATCTTTAAAAAAAAAAAAAAAAAAGGATAAAGGCTTGTTTTTCTGTGTTAATTGTATTGGATGAATCAGTAATATGCTTTACTAAAATTTATGTATATATAGTGCTTAGAGTGTATGTGTATACATACATATATATTTGGTATGATTAATATTATTTTTCAGATACATTGTTTAGGGGGTTTATGTGTTTGTAATCCACATCACAAACTAGATTGTAAGCCTCTTCAAG